GACCTCATACACCTTAGAACTGTACTAATTTGTATGCCTCTAGGAACTTTAGCATATCACATTGGCCCTGTCCATCTGAAGTGCCTCCCTGCTACTAGTTCTCCGTCTTTATTTTTCTCCTGAGGTAGAAACAATATATGACAATATATAAAAATATAATATAAAAAATAGTTTTTTTGTAAAAAGATATAATATCTTAAGAATTATTTTTGTTTATTATTTAAAATTTTTAAAATAAAAAATAAATATAAAAAAGATTTTTTACATTTGAAAAAAAATAATAGTATTTTTATTATACAATAAAGTTTTATTTGTTTTATATAAAAATTTTTGCTTAAGCCTTTAATATAAGATAGTTTAATAAAATTATTTTTCATTATAATTGTTTATAACAGTTTAAAAAAAGTAGTTTTTTTTTAATTTTATGTAATAGTTAAATTTTTAAAATAAACATTTTTAAATAAAATTCAAATCAATTTATTTTTATATTTAAAAATACTTAAATTAGATTTTATAAAATTTAAATGATTTTGTTATTTGATTATAAAAAAAAAATATAAAATCAAAAAAAAAATTACAAAAAATTATGAATCACACTATATATTGTAATTACTAATTATTTTTTATTAGAATTCAAATAAAAAAAATGTGCAATTAAAATTTTTTTTATAAAAATCAAACGTTAAATTAAAAGCAGTAAAATAAATAAATAAATAAAATAATTACTTAAAATCATATAATGTTTGAAGTATTCACTGAAATATTTTTAAATTTTTCATTTAATTTAAAAAATGTTTTTTATAAATCATGAAATAATTTATTTACAACAAATTGTAAAAATTATTAATGTGATAAGGTTGAAATAAGATATTGCATTTAACACTTGTTTCAATTAAAAATAAATGAATGAATGAATGAAAATTTATAATTATTATGTTATTTTTTTCTGTAATAATATATTATTAGATAGACTTTGAAATTAAACATTGTGTTTTAAATAAAAATCAAGAATTAATTTTATATATTTAGATTGTTTTTTGTCAATAAAATTATGTACGATGCATACTGGGTATTTAACCCACACGATACCATTCGTATTATATCAAATTACATAAATTTATACAGTAATGATTTTGACATACAGGTCATTTTATAGGGTTGGTGTGATTTTTGAAAATAAATAAGACTTGAACATTATTCAAGTTATAATATTATATATGTTTTTCAAAATGATGATAGTATTAATAAATAAATCTATTTTTTATTTAAATTAATACATGTAATGTACGTATTCATATCCCAAAAGTATATAATTACATTTATATAGTAACTATACAATTTTAACGAGCCTGTACTGTATAAATTTGTAGGCGAATGCATAGACCGGTTCAATTCAAATTTCCATTTTTTCCACATCATTCAGCGTTAACTTGGTAATGTTTTATTGCGATTTATTAGTATGCTACGGTAACATACATATAGAATACTGCACTTACAAATAACATAAGATAACGTCTTTTGACGATGCATCCTGCGCACATATGTACTGTAGTACCATATACACATTTATATACAGTATAACGTATGCGGTCAATCTGTTGAGGGTGATGCGCTTTGTCCTAAATCGTTCCTCTTCAAATCTATGTTTTCGAGCAGTCAAGTTAATTCTATTTAGGCACAAATTGTATCATCATAATTTTAAAATTGAACATCCCGAAAAGATGAGGACTAATATTCTAGTGTACTCACAAAATTCTTCAAATGTCGAAAAAACGATTGAAACGCTGAAATCTATCATCGGCAGCCACTATGACATAATTTCGGTTGACACTAAGACATTGGAGAATGAATCATGGCAGGCCACAACGTGTTGTCTGTTATTACCATACAGCATTGATTTTGCAAGTAACGAGGGTAAAGTGAACCGTCGAATCAGTGACTATGTGTTTAAAGGTGGAAACTATTTTGGATCAGGTGATAGTGCGGCTTTTGCTACCAAGAATATTGATAGAGAGCGCTTTGGTGAAGATAACAATCTTGGTTTCTTTTCGGGAAGTTATAAAAGAATGTTGTCAATTGGAAATGAGATCAAGCGGCAATTAAACAACAAAATTGATAAGGAAATTTATCCCGTAATGCCAACTAAGCAGTTTATGACTTGTCTGAGGGACACAGAGTTAAAATCACTCCCACAGGAGATCTATCTCAATTCTGATGGAT